AAAATTGACAAAATTTGTAGGGTAAATTTTTAGGCCCGAATTTTGCAAAGTAAGTTGCACTCTGTTATGATGAAACTCTAAATAATTTTCTTTTCTTCATCATTTTCACCTAAAGTCAACCCAAAAAGCTTTAAAAAAAACGCATTTTAAATTTTAAGTTTAATGAAGATAATTTGACAAAAAGCAAGCCAAAATGAAAATATCTATTTTAAACCAATATAATCCATTATAATCAATCAAGTTCAAAATAATCATGTAAAAGATGACTTTAATAGTTATCTTCTCTTATTATAAACGTCTTATTGTCAATTACCAATGCTTGAATTTGAATGTTGAAAACTGAATGCGGAATTGAAACTTCTTTTTTCAAAGAAATTGTAGATGTTTTTGTTGTACTTGCGAGAATAAATGTCTTAAAATCGGGAAATTTACTTTTTTCCCGTAAGCAAGTTTTCTGACGCATTTGTCATTAAATCGATGCTACTTTATTATCAATTCATAGCCACTTCCATTCCCCTCTCACTTAAGTTGGAAATAGTAAGGCGGCCTTTGCATCCTATGGACTGGAGCTTGAATCCTGGCTAGGCCTTATTTTTTTTCAATGTCGAAATAAAAATTTTCTCCGGGAAGGTCGGAATATTGTTTGTCGGCTCTGTTTTGTTGTTTTAATTGTCAGGCAATATTTTTTCTGCGATGTGAGCAGTTTTATTGAAGTCTCAGGTGTCGTCGATTAATTCCTGCAGTTTTTAAATTTTTACTTTCTCTGAATGGTAAATTTTAGTTTTTTGTTTTTGTTTTTGCTTCAAAATTTTATCGGCCTAAATAATTTCGTTTGTTTTTTATAGGCTGTTTTTTGAATCAATTTAATTATGAAAAATCATTAGCTTTGTTTTGATCAAATCAAGTTGGTTGGTAGCTCAAAAGTTAAAAATTTAAAATTTTTAGTCGCTCATAGTTTTTTATGACATGAAGAAGAGAAGAAGAAAGAACACCTGAATTACTATACAGTAAAAAGCCGAGGCATCAGTATAGCAAAGTGTAAATAATAAAGTTGGTTAAAATTCATTGGTTACATCAAACAAAAACACAACATCAGAAAACAAGCAAAAAACAAAAAAGATTCCATTGACGTTTACTCTTTGAATACGTTTGTTTAGGAAGCTAGCAATTAAAGCATTTGCTCCATTTGAAAAACCGAGAGAAAGCCTTGGACAGATCTAATAAAGCTGCTTGTACGATTTTTTTCAATCTATTTGATTTCGAATACTTTCTGTCACATAAACAAAAGCATCTTGTGTTGAAATGTTTTTGCGAAATCCGAATTGAAATGGTGTCATTATTCGAAATTTGTCAAGATGTTCTGTTATTTGGGCATGTAAAATTTTTTCAAAAGTTTTAGAAAAAGCACAAGTTATTGATATTGGCCGATAATTTTTTGCATCCATTGGGTCATCTTTTTTAAAGAAAGGGGTTACGTGTGCTTTTTTCAGTTCGATCGGGAAAATGTTCTCATCTAAGCAAGTATTTATGACAAAAGTTAAATGTGGAACTATAACTGATTGACCGTCAATGATTGCCCAAGCAGGTACGGTACAAGGTCCGAGAGGTTTTCTAACATTGATTTTTTGAACTATATTAAAGCATTGCTTCACTGTAATGTGTTGAAAATGGAAAGGTGCAGATTCAGAGGCAGATTTGTTGTAATTCGGAGGCTTTTTAGCGCCAAAAAATTCGCCTAAGTTTGAAAAAATATAATTTAAATGATTGGCAATTTTTTTGTATTGGGTTATCATTTCACTGAAGGTATTTCGTAGAACTGTAATTCGATTGTTGCCAGAACATGTACCTCTAACTTGGTTAATATATTTCCATTTTTGTTGGATAGTGCTGAGAAGTGAAAAACAATTTTTTGAGTGATCGATTTGTTTACTTCTAACCAATTGGCTCATTTGATTACGTAAAAACTGGTACTTTGACCAATTATTGCTTGTGCTTTGACTGCGATATGATCTGAGTGAATTCTGTTTCTTAATCAACAATTGCTGACATTCTGAATCGAACCATTCCGTTTTCAACACAATTTTTGGTTTAAAATTACGAACAAAATTTTTTTCGATAGGAGCATGTTGCTGAAGAGCACTAGAAATTAAATAAATCATCGTCGAGAACATGTTTTGTGCGTCTGTACATTGATATAAGAGATACCAAGGAAGAGCGGAGAGTGTATTGCAAAATTCATTTTTTCTGATAATTTTTCTTATTGAAAGTCGAAATTATCCTCGGTAAACTTTTGCCGCATTTTATATCCGTCAAAATAAATGAAGCAAAATGGTCGGTTTTATAAGGTGTATCAAAACAAAATTCAATGCCGTTTGTTTCATAGTCACTGATAATGTAGTCGATATGAGTTTTAGTTGAGGAACTAATTCTGGTCTCATCGTTTGGACAAAAAACCTTCAATCCATATAGAATAATTATAGAATCTAAATTTTATTTTTATTTGCTATCCAGATAGTTTATGATATAATCACCCAGAAGCGTAATTTTATTAGAAACTGAAAATGCATTATCTATGTTAAGCGTTAATTGTTCCAAAAAAAAAACAAAAAAGTTTGATCTGCTTGGATTATAACACAAATTAACTAACATTTTTTCTTTACTGGAAATGTTAAATGTAGTTTTGCACTCAACCCACACTGACTCATATTTTTTTTTATCAATTAAATTTAAATCAGGCCTCAATTTCGGAGCCAATTTGACTGGTATATATAACTAAACGCCACCGCCTTTCTTTTTTTACCGCTGATTGCCTATCATATCTGAACATCGCATGCGTTCTAGGGTGGAGATTCCATAAATTGTCACTATCTTCTTTTTAAGCCACGTTTCGGAAATTTCTATAATTGTATTTTCGCCCATATCATCAAGAAATTTTTTCAATTGCATCCGTTTTCTAATAATACTTTGAAAATTCAAATGAACAAATTTAAGATTTGCACAATTTTTTGAGCAGATGCCGTAGACTGTTTCAATGGTTTCAATAGGACCAGGTTTTTTTTCAACATCCCCACTTTGGGTCAGTAACAACGCAAAAAGGAAAAGATGAGTCTGTGTGGTAGCTCTCCGCTCATTTATCCCACATTTCCATGATAATATCTTTTGGTGGCAGCTTAGATAGCCCCAGTAAACAATGGTTTTTTCTATATTTTCCATCTGAGCCTTGGAAATTAGAAAAATTGCACAAAACAACCAGAATTTAATATTCAGCATAATAAATTAAATAAATTAAATAATCGCCAAAGTTTGCACCAAGAAAAAATGCGAAACTAGTATTTCCTGAAGAATTTTGCACCGTTTTGGAAAAATTGAATCATTTCTGCCGTTTTTGGATCTAAATTTGATGATAGTTGGGTTTGCTTCATTCTGGGGCGGGTTGTAATCTCACATGTAATTGCATTAATATCAGAACCTCTAAAAGAATCTCTAAAACTTTGCACCAAAATTTCAACACCCCCATCAGAAGGATGCAAACCATCCGAGCTAAGCGCATCGGTATTTTGACTAAATTTTTTTTTATGTCTTAAATATCCAATTTTACTTCGCAAAAGTCCTTTACATTCCGTACTAAATTAAGAATTTGCTTGTTTAGCTTCTGTACATTTGGATTAAAATCTTTTCTAAAAGCGCCTAAGGGAGTTACAGTACATAGTGAAATTGTTTCTGGGGAGAATTTATGATTCACGAGATATTTTAGTTTTTCTAAGCTTATCACGGCTTCCTTCGCGTCGAAATCAATTGAGAAGCAGTCATTTATTCCAATTAGTGTAGTTACATGTTTAAAATGTCGCGATTTACTGTTTCTCACGCGTTCCAGCAATGCAGAAATTTTGTGCCCACCAAATCCTCTCGCCAACACATTTTACGATATTTGTTTCCCATTGATTCTGTTAACAATTGAGTCTCCCAGTAATAGGCCAGAATATTCTCCTTCTCGTGGTAAAAATAAATGTTTTCGTTGTTGGTCGAATTTTTCTTCTTGAATATTGGTTGCTTGTATTTTGATTTCTTGGTTATTCTTGCTTTCTTGGTTATTTTCGCTTCGTTTGTTCTAATTTCTGCTCCGAATTTCAATCTTGCTCCATTCATTTTCAAATTTGTTTTCTGCAATTTTCGAATTGACCGTGTTTTTAAAATTTTCTAGATCAATAAATTTGTTTCCTTTTTCTTCATCTTTCGTTGATACAGATAAGTTTTCGATAATTCGTTTAAAATAAGTAACATTTCAATCAAGTCTTTATACAGCTCGTATTTCAATTCGTCGTTCAAATTTCGGAAAGTTTCGAGGTCAAACATGTTGGCGATTAAAAGCGAAATTAAAAATAAGACATTAAAATGAACCGACTGATCGCTAGAAATTTAAATTTGACATGAAATGCCTTTGAGTTTTTTGGTTCAACTGTCGTCTGATCACGTGTTGTCGACTTAGTGAACGTTCGAAAATTACTATAGATTGCTTAAAGTTAGTGGTTGTGTTTCTTTTGTGTTTTACTGAGATTGAATTTTTGTTTTTTTTTTCAAAAAATTGTTGTTTTTTCTATGAAAACAGTTTTTTTTGGCGTTTTTTTCGATTCAATTGGCTCCTAACTACGTGTTATTGGCTTAATGAACGCTCGGAAAATTCTTAAAGCTGGTTAAGTCATGGTGGTTCCGTTTCTCGTCTGATTTTCGGAGATTAATTATTCGTAATTCCAAAAATATTGTTGATATTTTTAAGTTTTTTTTCGTTTTAGATATTTCAATCTCAGTGTAGTTGGTAGCTTGCAATGCCAGGCTTTTGTTGCATCGCCTCTGTGGGTTTTTCTTTGCTAATTGTTCTGACCTCCTGCCCTGCCAATATGTGCTCACAACTGACCTATTCGGCACTATTTTCTCAAAGCTGCCTGCTGGGCTGATCTTTTTGGACACAAATTTCGATATTAAGGAAAAAATACGCCCGGTATTAAATATATCTACTTGAACTATTACACTTTAAACCACTGACTAATTCTAAGTAAATAATTGAAAAAAATTACAATAAGTAATAAAAATAGAAGGTAGAAACTATTCGTGATTTGGTCCGCGTTTTTTTTTAGCGTCGCGTAACTGTAAATGATCGCTTCATTTTGTTCAATAATCTTCATGTTCTTTTAGCTTCGGAGTCAGAGTGAGAACGGGGGGACCATGAATGGTCTGTGGGTCTGTGATTGGTGGTACTGCTGTCTCATTTGCTCATCCACTCTCGCTCTTGGAGGCAATCTCTGAAATGACGCAAGTTATAGAAGCTCTGCTCAAAATAGAAACTACAGGAGACAAGTTGTTTATAGTCATTTGAAAAAAAAAATAACAACAAGTATATCAGACCAAAGCTTTGATTTTTCGGACTATCCCTTAAATCTGAAGAAAAACATTTTTTTTTTCAAAAACATCAACAAAACATTGACATAATTTCTTCTTCCTTTCTTTTCCCCACACGCCCTGTGGGAACTGTTTTGTTAGATGCGACAAACTGACTGGTTAGCGCGCTTATACGTTCAAATTATCACAATTCAAACTCTCAAAACATGCGTTAAAATGATAACAGGTAAAAAAAATTCTCGTTTGAGCTCTAAACAATGATCTTTCAAATTTGAGTTTTGACTGAACAAAAAAAATCACCTCGAACATGGAAGCTTTGTCTTTTTCTTTGAAAACCTGAACAAAACACGCTTCGATAATTGAAAATTTTAACTGGATCAGACCCAAAGAGAAAATTGTAGAATTATCAAAGGATTTAGTTGCAAAAAAACTATAATTTTTGGCCAATCAAAAAGAAAACTCGATTCATTGAAACGCAGTTTGAATCACAGCCAAAAATATTCAAAATATTCTATCAAATAATTCAAGGCGGTTTGTCTTAGTATTACCTGTGCTGATTGAAACGAATAGGCATCTCAGTTTGAATTTTTATTTCAATGAAAAGGCCAAGAATCTTTCTTTCGTGAATCTCTCCTAAATTATATATTCCATTACAAGTTTTATATTTACAATTTGGGGTTTTTTGCACACCAAGCAGCTAACGTAGTTAAATTCTAGATAAACATTATTTACGCGAGGAATCTATGTTTGCTTGGGTGATTTTTAATATTCAGACCAATTTGCAAATATTATTAGCTCATCTGGGGTGCTCAATCCCTGGACCTACGTGGGCCCACCGGGCGCGCGCTCAAGAATAAAAGCCTGACTTTCTGGTCTTTTTGAAACGAGTTCACGTAAATGGTTCATTTTATGCTTTGATGAGGAAAGAGTAACGCACTAACAATAGCGTGTTCCAATTTGAATTGAGGCAAAACGAAAAGTCTTAATCATTACATATACCTCTCATTTTTAACACTTAAAATTTGACATATTTCAGTCTAGAATTAGACAATTTTTCAACCATTTTTTTTTATTAAGCCGCACAATTCTCAGGGTTTTGCTATAATATCGAACAGGCTGATTTTCTATAATAACTAATTCTTAACTAAGTCAAGTTAACTAAGTTTTAACTACAAGCAAGCTCGTGAAGCGACTATTCGTAGCAAGTGACGATTCGTTGCCGGTGATTTTCGTAACAAATGACGATTCGTAATTTTTGAAGTGCGAACTTTCGAAACAAGCGACAATCTGTAACACTTAATTGCTGATATGGTGGATTAAAAATTGAGTTTCAATTGTTAACTGTAAGAGTTGGGGGGATTAAGTTTTTGTTTCTCTTTTGTTGGTTGTATCAAAAGACTCCTGGATTACCAACGCATTGACTTGATTTCAGTTTGTTTATCATAAAATTAGTAGTTTAAAATTATTTATAATAGAAGCATGGACTTCCTTACATTGGTTTTTCCTCAATTCAATTTGAACTTCATTCAATTATCTATCAATTTGATCCATGTAAACTCGTCCATCTAGGCCTCTAAAATAAACCAATGCCTCCAGTCGATGATGTGAGAGCCCATGCAAATTGTCCGTTATAATTTGCGATTGCTCAAATATTAGTGAAAAGAATGAATGTGGCCAGGAAAATTTTTCACATGAGCCAATATTCAACTCAAATCTTTGTTTTTTGGACGTGCAGATACCAGATTGATAAACATTTTACATAAAAAATTCGAACATAGGTTAAATAAAACTTAAACCAGCATAAATAGAGGACGTGAGTTTCTGTGGCAACTAGGGGGATTTTTTTTCAGCCAAACTAAAATTAGGGTTAAGCAAACATCATTTTTATAAGCAAGCCGGTATTTTTCTTGGGAAAAAAATTTGAAGTTTAACCCAAATGCTAGAAAAAAAATTTTTTAGAGTCAAACGTGCTATCAAAGTGAAAACCAAAGCCACTTCGGAACCCCCAAGACCTATTTATGCAGAGTTTACTGGAGACGCCTCAAAGAAGACGATGGTGAATTTGCCATATTATATTTCAAAAGCCTAAAAAATATTGCGATACCACTGCAGTTGATTCTCTCAGTCAGAAGGTGATACTTTTCCAACCTTTGATTCTTTGCCTGATGATGCGGACCGGATGTTGATTTTCTCAACGGAAGCAAGTTTAGATTTGTTAGAGAGCAACACAACTTGGCATGCTGATAGAACTGTTAAATCATGCCCCACGCTCTTCTATCAAGTATTTACTATACAAGCTGTAGTAAAAAAACAAACAGTTCCAATGGATTGATTTCTTTTAACACCAAAAAATAAATAACAAAATCTGCGAGCTTTGGAAGTGCTAGAACAGTTAAACTCTTACCTGGAGCCAGCCAAAGTTCCGCTCGATTTGAAAAAAAGCGTCAATCAATGTCTTTCATCAGTCTTTTTGCGTGCCATTATCAGGAAAAAGCCGCTTAGGCCACTTTGTGCATGCTATTTCGAGCAAATTTTAGGGAGCTTGGCGGAATTACCTTTTTTAGATCCGACGAAACACTGCGGCTTCTGATGAAATTAAATATTGCACTGGAATTTTTCCTTTTTCTCCAATATGATCTGCAGCTGAGGTTCAAATGCCTGAACAATCTATTTGGCAAAAATTTTCCAATCATTCCATATATTGAAACTTTTGGAAAGATATCGTTTGACCAATGTTTCGCACAAAACGCCAATCAGCTTTCTTCCCCTTAGATCTCTGGAATCAGTTTGAGTGCGCGCCGGATCAAAAGCAGAAGACGAATAACTTGGTGGATGGTTGACATCGTACTTTCCAGATGGAAAAGGGCTGTAAGCACCCAACAATCCACAAACTCATTAAATTTATTTGGCGAGAACAAAGGTTAGCTGAGAATAAGCTTATGAGTAAAAGTTCCAGAGAGAAGGCATCAAAGACAGCAAAATACGCAAAAATGCAGTTAAGATTGTAAGGTTTTAAAAAATTATCAGAACAACCAAATTAGTAATATACTATAGGGAATAGCTATTAACCTTTATTTTTGATTTCTTTAATTCCTTTTATTTTAATTTAGTTTATAATTGTTTCTTTTATTTGTTGAACATCAAACAAAACAATGATATCAATTTTCGCTTGATACAAATCGTCGCCCAGCCAAGCAAACTACATCCAGAACTTAAACTTGAAACTAAATTGAAAGAGTTTGTCTTTTTGGTTTTTCGAAAACAAGTTAAGAATGCCCGGGAACAACCAGGGCCGATATGCCTTCAAAATTGCTGTTTTTATGAAAGCGTTGGTATTCATGCCAATAGTTTCCAACGGCAAAAGTTTTAAGGCCAGGCACAGTAAAATTTTCCAAAGCTCTGACTGAATTTTTTCTGACTATTTGGTTCAAATTTCAGAATATTCAGATTTGATTGGCCAATGAAAAATTTTCAAATTTGAATATATTGATCAATGTAATTCAATGCTTCTGGATTGACCGGAAATTTAAGTTCGTGGCTGGACGCAGTTTTTTGGCGTAGAAAACAGAAAAAAAACACGCGTTTTTGATCAAAAAAGCAATAGAAAAAGTTAGTTAAAAATCTACAAATTTGAGAAAAAATTGGATTTTTGTAGGCGTGGAGAATTTTTCGAATACAAAAACTTCATGAGCGAAAATTAGATCGATACTTGAAAAAAAACATGTAAACATTTAAAACGTAATTATACACAAATAAATAGTAAATGGAGGAGTTTCGGTCTATTTATTGTTTTCCCAGATGTTTTCGGCTACTTTTGTCACTTTGTCTCAGCCGAAACTTAGAAATTGATTGAAAATTACCTTCTGTAAAGAGTGCAGGGCTCTCTCGGAAAGTAGAGATTGCATCAGCATCTGATTGGCTGTCAGAGGGTCAGGCGAGTTCACTAGAGGGCCGGCATGGGATAAATGCAGGGCTGCAGAAAACATGCAGTAAGGTGTCACAAAATACCTTACAAGTTATAACTTAAAAATCCCCCCCCCCCCCCGTTAAAAAAATCCGACTGCAATATCATATACTTTCAATCGGGTCTTGTTTTTATTCTATGCCTTCTGGTGTGTGTTAATTTTTTCTCGACTCGTTTTTTTCCACAAATAATCGAGAAAAAAAACGAGAAACCACAAATAATAATCGGATTGGGTGAGTGATGTATCATATTAAAGCCTTTTCAGTCGTGATTCCAACGATATTTAAAAATTTTCGAAAAAGTTCCTGAGTTTCGACAAAAAAGCTTTGTAGTTTTTGGTGACAAGTATTCGTTTCGAGCGAGTAAAGCAATTTAAGTCTTTTAATATAAAAAATAACATTTTTTAAGCGAAGAAAAATTTAGTTTTAATCTAGAAAAACTAGTTTTTGAAGCTTTATACAGCGCTTCCTCAGCAAAAAAAAAAGTTTCTTTATAAAATCAAAAAATAATTCTACAAAAAAGTACACTTTGCTTTTTAAACTAAAATTTTTGATCTTTTTTTGTTTTGTTGTTAAATTTTCGACGCCGATTTTTTCTTGTTCACGTTTTAAGCATATGTTTTTTCCTCGCACAAGCCACGCTCAAAAAGGTTAAAAAGTGTTTTTGGAGAAATATGGTCTAAACTTTCTTTTTTACTTGCATATCAACTGGCTAGTTTTTTGTTTTTCGCAAATGAGCGTTTCACCTGACTTCATGGTATAAGTAAAAAAGCAAATTTTACTTGTGCAGTTTCTAACCAGGTGAGTGTAAGAAAGGGTAGTTATTGTAGTTGGGTAGTGATTGTAGTTGTAAATGGGCTGGACTGTGCGGGTAATATCTCGGCGAAGGCATATATGCTTCCTAAATCAAAAGATTACATATCAGGCAGGGGCGGATTTAGGGGTGGTGGGGGTTTTTGGCTTTCTTCCTCAGGGATTCGACCCCCTGCCGACCCAAAAGGTCCCTCCTTTGGTACTTTTTAAGATATCCATTTTTGGCCGAACGACCCTAAAATTTTTCTAAAGGTGCCTGCGCCAATATATACTAATTTTGAGGGGGAGCGCTCGCCAAAAAAAAGCGATTTGTTTGTCAAAATTTTCAAAAAAATGCCCAAAAACGGCTTTTTTTGACCTGTTTTTTCAAAAAGTTGGCCAGTACAGCGTCTTTTTAGTGCTTTAGGAGAGCTCGGAAAATCAATTAGGTCGACCTAAAAAAAAGGTCGTAAAATTTTCGAATTTTTTTTGAAAATGCTCCCCCCCCCTCGAGAAAATCCTAGATCCGCCCCTGATATCAGGTTTAGAAGTGGAAGCGCCCTCACGTAAAATCAATCACTTCACTGGCCAAAACGGTAGTCTTTTGGCATTTTTTTTCACATTCCATTTTTGGTCAACCAATCGTGAAACTTTTCAAAAGGCAACTGCGATGAATATGCAAAAATTTTGAGGGGTATAGCTGCATTTTCGTCTAGAGCCCGTCAACATAAATCAGTTCATCCATAAAGAAAAGCCTTTTAATTCGCCACCTTCTGATGAAAAACAAATAAATCGTTATAAATGGTGAAAAATGAAAAAGGGGATAACCGAAAAAATTAACTAACTAACTCCTAGTAATGGATATTTTTTCAAGAATTGTACGCTTCTAGGGGTGATGTCGTCAAACAGATTGGTATAGTCATAACTTGCTCCCATCATCAGTCGTTGGTGTCGAGGAATGTTATCTTCCAAGAGATACTTTTCTCCCAGGAGAGATTTCGTTAAGTTTGGAATATCAGATATCATCGAAGGCTTCTCCAGCGCAGATTCTACTAACTTTTGTCTTAATTTGCGATACTGAAAACAAACATTTCGACCTTAAAATTTTCTAAAGGCGCTTTTGGCGCTGAAAATAAATACTAATTTGGGCGAGAGAATGAAAAATGGGCGGGAGTAATTTAAAACGGCATTTTTAGCACATTATGAAAAAGTTTGTCTGCGTTGCTGCATTTTCTGCCAAAATACGTCCTTTTAAAAGCTTAAAAAGAGCTCGCACAATGTTTTTGGACAAAAATATAGGAAAATGTCGGCGGAACTTTAGAAACATACAGCTCTTTTAAATCTGCACGACCCGCTATCAAAAATCCTATATCCGCTTTGAAGCAAGTAATTCGAAAAGGCGGTTTCGGTTGATTTTGGGTTAACCGCCTTACCTTTAGATACGACAGTTGCAGCTGCTTCTCTTTTAGTTGTTGTCGATATGAAGCTTCTTCTTCCAAACTGGTTGCTTAAAATAACAAAATGTTTGCAAATATTATTTTTACTTTATTTGAAATAGTAAAAAAAATTTGTCGACTTACAGTTTGTGTGGCTGGATTTCGATGAGCCTATTGGACTACCAAATTTGAGTTTCTAAAACAAAAATTAATTTCAAATGAGTGCAGTTGCGGATTAAGGGATTCATGATTCGACCTACCCCTCCCGATAATTCGACCCCTTGACCATACGCAAAAGGTCCCCCTTTTGGTATCATTTCACGCTATTCATTTTTGGTCAATAAAACCAATTCTAATCGCTAATCTGAACTGAGTTATTCTGTAGATTTAACTCATAGAGTAATTTCGGATAGGGTACACCGTCTGCTCGTCACGCTATCTTATTTTCGGCCGGATAGATTCGTGCAACTTCTTAGTCTAATACCGATCCTAATCTTATTCTTATATCTACTAGTCTCAGGGTGTTTAACTAGTCTCTGCTAGGCTCAATAGATCTAGAGTATACTGGCTAATTGCGATTGCTGAAGTTCTCTTGGAGAGGCAACTAATTTCTAAGTTAAATTCAAATCTCTCTGGTGCTGAAATTTCAAGTAATTTCAGCACTTACAAATAAGTGGGTTGTTAGTTAGATGGAATATGATTGGTTAATATTAAATAATTTATAATGATAAAATATCTAATTTATCCAAAAATAAAATGTAGTTTAGATCAGGTTCCACCCATCCGGGGCTTACAAAGTTTTTTAGATTTATCTTTCTTTCTGTAATTGAAGGATGGATGATGAACGTTGGTATTTGGCGAACATCATTTTCTTATCCGGTTCCTCTTGAAGAAGAACGTTCCAGGACGCTGGAATGGTGGAAATGAAGTTGTTATCTTGTCATTCGACAACGACTGTGATCCCCAATGAAATCAGTCCGATTTCAAAATGGTTTGCTATGTCAGATTCTTCTGTATTAGTAGAGAACTGTTTTGTGTGAAGCCTCGTCTGGGAAGGGCGTGAAGATCGTGTTTGGGAGGGATGCCTTGTAATCTCGGATCTGTACGTATACTTGGACATCGAGGTAGTCATTGGTCTAGTTCAATGAAGTCCTTTTCTGCGAAGTCAAGTCGTACTCTAAATCCTTTGAGTCGTGATTGTGGACGGCATGTCGGTTGTGTTTAGACATTCTTTGTTCGAGTTTGATGGGATCGTCTAGTCTTTGAATGTTTGTCTTTGTTGTTGTGTATGATCTATATACTGCATATTATGATTTACATTTTATAAATTTTTGTTAATTTGGTTTTTAGTCATGATCTTAGTTAGTTGTTTTCACAAAAGCGTTTTATTTTAGTTCAGTTATTTTGAAGAGTTACTCACCCTTGAGTACCTCTTATTAAAAATTGAAGTGTGGTCACAAAGCGTGGGTGTAGCGCGGTGGGTTAGGCCGGCTATAAGAATGCTCAGGACGTCCTTATCTGGTGGGTTAGGCCAGGATTGGGAGTACGATTTCATACTGTTTCTTTGAGAGGTCCTGTTATGTGATAACATTTTTTGTTGGTTTTTTCTGGTCATTCTTATGTTACTTTGGTTGTGTCTTTTTTTCAAAAATCTAATTGTTTTTGGTTTGGGTTTGTCTTACGACTTTTTTGTGTTTTATTATTTTATTCTTAGACTTTATAATAGTCTCTAAAAGAATAAACTATCCAGTTTTAAGCTGGTTTAATCCGGTTTGGGTACCGTTGGTTTTCTTTTCTTAGTCTTGCTGTTATTTTATGATTTGTAGTGTTTAGTAAGCTGCGTTGGTTAGTTTGGTTTAATACATAGTTCCTTTCCAACTGGGTTAAAGAAAAGTTTGAAACTTGTTTATGCTTGTTTGAGTCGTTGTTAGTGAAAAATTGAAACATAAAATCATTATTTAAACAATTCTTCGTGGGCGAGCTGTGCGAGTTTGGATAAAATTTTTGTGCGAATGAATGAAAATTTTGAAAAGGTTAGTACTGCTTTCTCATTTTATGAAATCATTGCTTGAAAATTGAATTTTACTGCATTTGGGGAAGTTAAAAATTATAAATTTTCATCGTATTTAGTTTTACTGCTTTTGGGGAAATAATTTATAAATGAAATTACTACATGGGGTATGAATTTTATTTTATTATTTAGTGCGAAACATTTTTATTATGAATTAACAAGTTTAAATTTTTAGTTGTCTTTTTTCTGTTTTGTAGATTATTGTGTTGTGAAGACTAAAAGAACAATTTAAACATTGATAGAAAATGGCTAGTATAATTTGAATTTTTTTGCTAAAATTATTTTAATTCATTTTTACCTTATTCATCTGAAAAAAAGCCATGTGGGAAGATGTCTTGAATCAAGTCTGATGTTGTTAGTAGCTTGGCTAGTATGCGTATAACATTTTTCTTTTGTAGCAGTGGCCAAAGCAATTGAAGTGGATCGATGGTGTTTAGTTCTTCTGTGCCTACTGCGAATTCATGAGGTGTGTTTTGAATTAGGTTAAATTTTATGATTATATTTAGTATTTTGAATAAATTCTACTATGGGTATTTCGATAGGTTGTATGAATTCATGCGGGATAATGAAGGGTCTTGATTTTTCATCATTGAAGGTCTTCGTGATGGTACAAATTATATACATTTGGGTAACTGGGTCGTAGTTGCGGAGGATGCCGTGGAGGTTAGTATTTTTAATTCAATCTGTGAAATTAAGAAAGAATGGTGATGTGTACTTTGAATTAACAAACTGAAAACGGTGGTGGGGTTGTCGTGATGGTGTGTGTAAATCAAAATGGTTTTGTAAAAAACGATAATATGTATAAGTGTGCGTTTGTTTAGTGCGTAACATTATATCGTGGGAACAGTGCAAATCGCGTTCCTGTGGTGAAAGAAAGTGAAAGGTTAGTGAAAATAACTGAAATTTATCATAGAAGCTTTCATATGCTTGTATGTCAACTAGTGCTTCTGAAATTATATGGTCGTGCTTTTTATCAAAAATATTAAGTGTAAATAAGTATGGTGTTTTAATAAAAAAAATTTCGGTTAGTTGCGGGTTTGCAAAGCGGTCTTCGTCTAAAAATTGATCATGATTAGGACGGATGATATTGTGATCGTAGTATTCAATTGAGTAATCGTTAGCTCGGGGTGCGGTAAATGTTGTTAGTAATTTTTATATCCAACGTATGTAAATTGTCGAGGTGTTAATGATGTGGTGAGTATATACCGTATATTTTTGTTTCTCTCGATATTTTCACTTGTATCAGTGAGTGGTAGATAAAGGGGGTTGGTATAGTTGTAGTAAGCTGTCCAAGGAAGTGTTGGCATTAAAATAAGTCGTTTGTTAGTTAGATGGAATATGATTGGTTAATATTAAATATTTTATAGTGATAAAATATCTAATTTATCCAATAATAAAATGTAGTTTAGATCAGGTTCCACCCATCCGGGGCTTACAGAACTTTTAGATTTATCTTTTTTTCTGTAATTGAAGGATGGATGATGAACGTTGTATTTGGCGAACATCATTTTCTTATCCGGTTCCTCTTGAAGAAGAACGTTCCAGGACGCTGGAATGGTGGAAATGAAGTTGTTATCTTGCCATTCAACAACGACTGTGATCCCCAATGAAATCAGTCCGATTTCAAAATGGTTTGCTATGTCAGACTCTTATGTATTAGTAGAGAACTGTTTTGTGTGCAGCCTCGTCTGGGAATGGCGTGTTTGGGAGTGATGCCTTGTAATCTCGGATCTGTACGTATACTTGGACATCGAGGTGGTCATTGGTCTAGTTCAATGAAGTCCTTTTCTGCGAAGTCAAGTCGTACTCTAAATCCTTTGAGTCGTGATTGTGGACGGCATGTCGGTTGTGTTTAGCCATTCTTTGTTCGAGTTTGATGGGATCGTCTAGTCTTTGAATGTTCGTCTTTGTTGTTGTGTATGATCTATATACTGCATATTATGATTTACATTTTATAAATTTTTGTTAATTTGGTTTTTAGTCATGATCTTAGTTAGTTGTGTTCACAAAAGCGTTTTATTTTAGTTCAGTTATTTTGAAGAGTTACTCACCCTTGAGTACCTCTTATTAAAAATTGAAGTGTGGTCACAAAGCGTGGGTGTAGCGCGGTGGGTTAGGCCGGCTATAAGCATGCTCAGGGCGTCCTTATCTGGTGGGTTAGGCCAGGATTGGGAGTATGATTTCATGCTGTTTCTTTGAGAGGTACTGTTATGTGATAACATTTTATGTCGTTTTTTTCTGGTCTTTCTTATGTTACTTTGGTTGCGTCTTTTTTTCAAAAATCAAATTGTTTTTGATTCGGGTTTGTCTTACGACTTTTTTGTGTTTTATTATTTTATTCTTAGACCTTATAATAGTCTCTAAAAGTTTAAATTATCCAGTTTTAAGCTGGGTTAATCCGGTTTGGGTACCGTTGGTTTTCTTTTCTTAGTCTTGCTGTTATTTTATGATTTGTGGTGTTTAGTAAGCTGCGTTGGTTAGTTTGGTTTAATACATAGTTCCTTTCCAACCGGGTTAAAGAAAAGTTTGAAACTTGTTATTGCTTGTTTGAGTCGTTGTTAGTGAAAACTTGAAACATAAAATCATTATTTAAACAATTCTTCGTGGGCGAGCTGTGCGAGTTTGGATAGAATTCTTGTGCGAATGAATGAAAATATTGAAAAAGTTAGTACTGCTTTCTAATTTTATGAAATCATTTGATTGAAAATTGAATTTTACTACATTTGGAGAAGTTTAAAATTATAACTTTCATCGTATTTAGTTTTACTGCTTTTGGGGAAATAATTTATAAATGAAATTACTACATGGGTATGAATTTTATTACATTATTTAGTGCGAAAGATTTAGGAGTTTTATTATGAATTAACAAGTTTAAATTTTTATTTGTCTTTTTTCTGTTTTGTAGATGATTGTGCTGTGAAGATTAAAAGAACAATTTAAACATTGATAGAAAATGGTTAGTATAATTTGAATTTTTTAGTTAAAATTATTTTAATACATTTTTACCTTATTCATCTGGAAAAAAGCCACGTGGGTAGATGTCGTGAATCAAGTCTGATGTTGTTAGTAGCTTGGCTAGTATGCGTATATCATTTTTCGTTTGTAGCAGTGGCCAAAGCAATTGA